CTCTCATCGATGTTTCTACCTCTCTCTCCTTCTCCCTTCCTTTCACTCTAAAAATCAATAAAGAAAAACAAAACAAAACATGGGCCTGGGACCTAGGCTCTCTGGGTTCGAATACAGACTAACACTGGCTGTGAGACCTTAAATAATCAACTTTGCTGCTTTGGGCTTCAATTTCATCATCTATGAAATGGAATAGGAACAGTTCTTACCACAGAGGGTTGTAGTGAGAATTAAGAAAGTTAATTAATGTACAACACTTTAGGATAATTCCTGGCACAAAGTAAGTACTCAATAAATAATTGCTATTAATTGCCTGAAAGAAAAACTGGTTGTAGGGAGATTAGTTAGGAGGTCAGGAAATAGTCCAGGAAAACAGAGGTGAGAACAAAGAGGGGTGTGGTCACCTGGGGTACCTGAAATGATGATACCACTAGACAAACCAGAGAAAAGAAAAGAAAGAAGAAAACAGCCAATGAGCCTAGCTCTAGCCATGTTAGGTCAGAAATCCAAAAAAAGGTAGGAAGTAGAGATACAGAGGTGAGCGTTACTAACACGTGGATGAGTTGGCTGAAGCTGTGGTAAGGAAGAGAGTCGTGGGAAGAAAGTAATGTGAAAGAGTGCTAGGACCCACCGGGACAGGCCTTCAGGATCACGACAGAATCTACAGGAACGCCAACAAAACTGAACTGTCACTAAGACAGAAAGAGAGGAGAAATACAACTATATGAAATAATCTCTTCCTTCAAGAAGTTTTCAAAGTCAATAGGGAAAAAAGACATACACATGTCAAACAATTTTTATCATGACTGTTTAGGATTAATAAGAGTAACTCTAGCCCTGGAGGGTTTGGCTCTGTGGTTATAGCGTTGGCCCGCGGATCAAAGGGTTGCAGGTTGGATTCCAGTCAAGGGCCAAGGGCACGTACTTCAGTTGTGGTTCTGTCCCTGGGACTATGCAGGAGGCAACCAATCAATGTTTCTCTCTTGCATCACATCAATGTTTCTCTCTCTACCTCCCTCCCTCCCTTCCACCCTATCTGAAGATAAATGGAAAAATATCCTTGGGTAAGGATTAAAAAAGAATAATAAAATAAAATAAAATAAATAAATAAAGGAGAAAGATAATTCCGAGACAGGAGAAGTAAAGGGGAAAGTGAAAACTATTATTTATTGAAAGTCTACTATATACCAGTAACTGTAGTAGGATCTTTCTAGTATTTTACCTTATTTAATTCTCTTAATATTCCTCTGAGACCAATACTATCGCCATTTTACAAGAGCAGTTTGTGGTATACCAAAGTAACTTGCCCAAAGTCTCGCATCCAGGTGTGGGCACATGGCAGCTTTACAACTGGAATCTCAGTGGGGTCCCATGATTTCCCTGCAGTACTTCCACTTATTAAACTAAAGTAGAAAAGTCCAAAAGGAAGGGAGGAAAAAAACTATACTAGAAAAAAACCGAATTGTTCTTCCTTATCTCATTACAATGGAGCTTCCTTTTTGAGGACATTTGAAAGAAAAAAAAATGAGTTTTTAAACATCATAAAGAATCTTCCAAGCTCAGAGAACAGGTAGGATTACAGACACCTCCCTGCTGTCAGACGCAGGCTCGGGTCTGTCCCGCACTGCACCACGGTTACAGTTCTGCACTGCACACCTGACCATGTCGGTCCTCCGCTCCCATAACCTTTCAGTAACTTCTCACACCAACAGGATTAGAAAAAATCAGCACAACCAAAAGGAAAAATCTATCTAACAAATCTAGAAACTCCTTAAGTTAAAGGAAAAACAGAAAAAAAGTGAACTCCTAAAAATAAATGCTCGCTTGTCATTTGTAACCCTACCCCTCTCACCTCGAAACCGGAAAGTAAATGTCAAACGCCAGTGAAAGAGCAACATCGACACCTTGTGGTGGAGACCGTGTGGCTCTTAATTAAATGTCTGCCTACGTGAAAACTTAACCCAGGAATTTCAGAGTTCAAGAAGCAAAAATGTAATTACCATCACACACTGAAGGTAAATTTAGAAAGAGCTTCTAACTACTTTGACAACTAAAATTGGCCTAAATTCTTAACTAGTGGTGGGAAAAATCTGAATGAAACCTCAGGTTATTGTTTTCCTAAAAAATGGTACAACATATCCATCTGAAGGAGTCATACTGCCCTGGTCTTAGGTGCTTCAAAATCTTTGCCATATTCAAGCCCTGGCAGGTTTGGCTCAGCGGTTAGAGCAGTGGCCCACAGACCAAAGGGTCCCAGGTTCAGTTCCCAGGCAAGGGCTTGTACCTGGGTTGCAGGTACAATCCCCTGCCCTAGTCGGTGTGTGCGGGAGGCAACCAATCAATGTGTCTGTCTCACATCCATGTTTCTTTCTCCCTCTCCCTCCCTTCCAATCTCTTTAATAATCAATGAAAAAAATATCCTCGGGTGAGAATTAACAACAAAAAAATTTCTTGCCTTAGTCCAGACTTTCAATTCTCCTGAGACATTCACACATAATGACACAAAGTTATTAACCAAACATTGAAAAACAAAATCAGGAGACCTGGATCCAAACTCTGATTCCAGAAAGCACCGAAAATTTTATGGAGTTTAAAGTCATATTAAAAAATTCTGACTGTGTGTTTTCACATAAAATTATAGATCAAGAAGTAACAATTTCACAAACCAAGAAAGCATCAGGAAAAGAAAAGATATATATTTTTTAATTATTCTCATACAAACAATGTTGCCTGAGTTAAAATGGGGAAACTATGAACAAAACTGATGGGCACAAAATTTTTCCCCAGAAAGCACTTTATATATAAATCAGTAAAAACTGTGGGGGAAAAAGTGCTTTTGACTGAGCAGAGAAACGATGGTTACTCTTTACTAATTAATGTCTGAGAGAATTTTCAGAGAACGTTGCATTTTACACTTTAACTTGGACAAGTACAATTTGAACTTTCTAGTTTCAGAGTAACTCTCCGGGTTCTGGTGATTTGGTTGACAAACAACACTTGATCTGGTTCAGAAAAGTATGTCTGTGTTACCAGCTATCAATGATTCACACAATAGTGAAGAGAAGGCCACTGTTAATAAGGCAATTCAAATTGTTGACACACCTGAGGAATCTGAAAGACACCCTAGAAATAAAGCCCCCAAGAGACATATCATTGCAAAATCAATGTGAAATAACAGCAACTACCCTTTTCATTTTGCATCTATGGAAGGCTCTATGATTTCCAGAAAAGTTTCTCTGTCGTTATGCTACGTGTACCTCATAACCACCTGTCTAGAAAGGTAAGTGAGACCATGAAAAGGATCTACAAAACATGCCTGTCAGAAAACCTTCACACCAACCTCCAGCCTGGCTCTCACTTGCTGTGTGCCATCAGATAAATAAATCATTTAACACCTCTTCACTTCGGCTTCTACAATGGTGTGCGAACACAAAAACTTTCTAAGAGAATGAGATATAAATGTGAAATGCTTGTAAATTACACAAAATTTAAACTCCACTGCTTCCGCCTTGCAGAAGAAGCACAGCGGTTACACGGATTGGATACCTCTGGGCTACCTGAAGTCAGGGTCAGGTTCATCAAAGCATCCTCCATTGGGCCACGCTGCTTCCTGGGACCTGCGCTTTCCTCAGTTCCCACTCCCCGGTACCAGACAGAGCTTCCTGCTCCCGGAATCTCCATTCTCTGCTTTCCCGAACCCTCTTCTTCTCAATGACTTCGCATTCCTTCCTCTTTTAATCTACTGATTCTCTAAAGATCACAGAATTTCACACTTGGGAAATGTCTTTCAAATAATAATATCTATCCTCTCATTTTACTGAGGAAAAGAGGTAAAGAAATATTAGTGGCTTACTCACATTTTAAACTATTTCTGTACATTCTTCTTTCCAATACTTAAAACTTAACGTAGTAGTTCCAAACTGAATAGGCTCAAAAACATGAGCTATATATTTTGACACTTCCTGCTTTCTCTACCCTCCAAATACTAAATCCTGTTCATTCCGTTACACAGCCTAGGAATTCAAAGTGAAAGTCCTCTCAGATAAGAATCAAAAGTCATCAGATATGTGTGGTTACTTTAGCTGAAATCATTGTCTCTTCAGAGCAATTTATACAGTCCATGTGACCAAACTCTATCACCATGCATAATAAAATTCAAGATTTGTGAAGGAAAGGCCTATTTCATAATGTTTATAAAACAAATAATCATCCAATTGGACAAGCGTCCAATAATCCTTCTGGACTCTTCCTCTAGTAGATATATATAGGATGTCTAATGGTCTGAAATTTATGATGTGTTATGTAAACATTAGAAAAATACTTCCAAAATCAAATTTCAATGAACCATCTGTCTGAGAAGGGTGAACATAGGTTGAGTGTCACTGTTAACTTTATTTTGAATTGCATTTATTTTGGTAACCTGCCTCTTAGGAAAATGTCCGAGATGATCTACCACACTGAAAATTAAAACCAAATTTAAAAATCTTTCAAAATTAAGCCCAGACGTTATAAAAATACAGAGCTCCGGCAGTTAAGCCTCTGAGCATGAGATTCGTGCAAAGCTCCTTTGCCCTGCCAAACACGATTCTTTTAAAAGATGAACAGCAGGTCAAAACTCTCAGCCATGTCTGGGGCTATTAGAGGGCTTTTCTAGGAAGGCTGTAGTTGTTAAAATTCTGATAAGTCTAAATTTTGTACCTCTGCTTGCTGCTCTTTATAGTGCAGAAAACCGGAAACAGCTCATGTCCCTGTTTTAAGATCACTGGCTTCCAATCATTCTCTCCACTGTCCAAAGAAAGGAAATGACTTTCCAAAGGCTTTGTGAGAGAGATAAACTTAAATCACTGTAGCTACAAAATTTATGAAGCTCTCACTAAAAAATGCCAAGCCTGAATAACAGCTTCTAAAGCTCCTATACATTTCCTCACACTGAAATGTCACAGATGCAAAATGAGGAGGACTCTTTCGAAAATGTAGGAGGACTCAAAGAAGTTTCTTACCGCAGCAAAGAGAAGACATCGTAAGAATTGCGAACGCAGTTCTGATCCACATGAAGAGGAATATTCTTCTTAGTGTTTGAATAACCCTAAAAGATATAAATTCACAAATTAATCAAAGTGAAACAGAATAAAATATATGCACAATTAATAATGTTTGTCTTTTTTAAAATTATGATTTATAAACACTTCAGTAAATTCAAATTGTTAAGAGACTCAGAGAATACAACTTCAATATAACTAAAGTTTAACATTTTAGGCAAGTGAACTCAAAATAACTTTCCTCTAATATTTTCCCACAGAAACAATGTTTCACATTTTGTAGAGAACTTCTCAGAGAAGCCCCAGAAGTCTTTTTAACATATGTGACTGAAGGAGGGTATTAACAATAATATTTCAAGTACGCCTAGTCATCACATATAATGTTTTTATGGGAGGAAAGGCATTCCAAGTTCCAATTAGGAATACCAGAAACAAACATTTCCACTTAGTGGTACAAAGATGGTGGGAGCAAGTATGGATTCTAGAGAGAACACAGCACAATCCATAAGAATAATAGAACAGCTATCTGTCATTTGAGATAGACAAAGTAAACAGTGGTTAAGAAAAACAGACTCTGGACCCAGACAACCTGATTACAATGTAAGCCCTTCATACATCAGCTCTGTGGTCTTGAGCGTTCGTAGTTTAATCTTGGTTTCTTCATCTGTACTATGGAGTGATAATATTATCTACCTCACAAATGATTGTGGGATTGAAAGAGTTAATAGTTGAAAAGTGAAAGGTATGTAATAAGCACTATAAAATGTTTGCTATAATGCTATCATAAGCATTTTTTAAGTTATGTTGCTACGGACATTAAAACATTAACTCATGTTACCTCAAAAAAAGGTTATTAAAAATATTATGACTTCCGGTCAAGATGGCGGCGTAGGTAAACGCAGTATCACGCCCTCCCACAACCACATCAAAGTTACAACTAAACTACAGAACAACCATCATTCAAAACCGCCTGAAACCAAGCTGAATGGAAGTCGTACAACTACGGAACTAAGGGGAAAAAAGCAGCTACATCCAGACCAGTAGGACAAGCAGCGGCGCAAGGGGGGGGGCGGCGGCGAGACGGGCTGGTCCCACACCCAAGTGGGGTGGATAAAAATCAGGAGGCTCCCGCGGCTGGGAAGGTCCTTCCTGAGGACTGAGGGGTCCCCGTCCCACACCAGGTGCCCCGTTCAGGGTTCCAGTGCCAGGAAGAGAATCCCCATAACTTCTGGCTGGAAAAACCAGCAGGAACTGAGGCTCAGGGAAGCTGAAGCTGCTGGAGCCCCAGGCAGCTCCCTAAAGGGCCCGTGCACGGACTTATCGGACTCTCTCCCTCTAAGCTTGGAGGGGAGGCAGCTCGAGGGGCGCCAGAGACATACAGGGAAGAACTGAGCTGTTTGGCACTGGGGCGAGCGCTGGAGAGGGGGCTTCCTCGGGGACAAACGTGCTGTCAGAGGCCTTTGTTCCTTTGGTGAGCCCTTCCCAGGGGCGGCAGACAGAAGCCATATCTGGGACTCCAGCAACCTGGCTCACACTGGTAGCCCCGCCCTGGAGACTCCCTGAGGCCCCGCCCCACCCAACTTCCAAGTCCACCCAAGCTGTTGCCACTTGCTTAACCATAGGATTGGCTGGTCTTGGATCCAGCTTCCGGTTTTTCCTAAATTCTTTCAAACGAGCAGCACCTCTCATTAAGTAATACACAGAAACAAACTCAGGGAGGCAGCCAAGATGAGGATACAAAGAAACAGGTCCCAAATGAAAGAACAGAACAAAACCCCAATAAAAGAACTAAGCGAAAGGGAGATAAACAACCTAACAGATACTGAGTTCAAAATACTGCTTATAAGGATGCTCAATGAACTTAGTGAGAACCTCAGTGAACTTAGGGAGGGCCTCAAGAGCATAAAAAAGGACCAGTTAGAAATCATGGATACACAGTTAGAATTAAAGGAGGCATTAACTGAAATAAAGAATAATTTACACAGCTTCAATAATAGAGTATGTAAATCCAAGGAGCAAACCATTGATTTGGAATATAAGGGAGCAGAAAATCCCCAATCAGAACAGCAAAAAGAAAAAAGAATCCAAAAAAATGAGGATAGTGTAAGGAGCCTCTGGGACAACTTCAAGCGTGCCAACATTCGCATCTTGGGGGTGCCCGAAGGAGAAGAGAGAGAACAAGAAATCGAAAACCTGTTTGAAACAATAATGGCAGAAAACTTTCCTAACTTGGTGAAGGAAACAGACATACAAGTCCAGGAAGCACAGAGAGTCCCAAACAAGATGAACCCCAAGAGACACACACCAAGACACATCATCATCAAAATGTAAAAGGTTCAAGACAAAGAGAGAATCTTAAAAGCAGCAAGAGAAAGGCAGCTAGTTACCTACAAGGGAGTACCCATAAGGCTGTCAGCTGATTTCTCAAAAGAAACTTTGCAGGCCAGAAGGGAGTGGCAAGAAATATTCAGAGTGATGAAAACCAAGAACCTACAACCAAAATTACTCTATCCTGCAAAGCTGTCATTTAGAATTGATGGACATATAAAAACTTTCCCAGACAAGAAAAAGTTAAAGGAGTTCATCACTACCAAACTGTCATTATATGAAATAATGAAGGGTCTTTTCGAAGAAAAAGATAAAATGTATGAACAAACAAAATGGCAATGAATACATATCTATCAACAATGGAATCTACAAACAAAATGAACAGGAAGAACAGAAACATTCTCATAGATACAGAGAACATTTTGTTGGTTGCCAGTTGGGAAGGGGGTTGGGGGAATGGGTGAAAAAGGTGAAGGGATTAAGAAGCACAAATTCATTGCTAGACTGACAAACCTCAAAGGGAAAGGGGTTGGGGGGGTGGAAAGAAATAAACCAAAGAACTTATATGCATAACCAATGGACACAGACAATAGTGTGGGAAAAGGTGGGAGGGGGGCGGGAGTGGGGAGGAGGGGGTCAATGGGGGAAAAATGTGGAACATCTGTAATACATTTTACATCCAACAATAAAGATTTGGGAAAAAATAAATAAATAAATAAAAATTTAAAAAAATTAAAAAAAAATATTATGCTATTAAATATACTAGCAAACTACTTTATGCTATCAAATTTGACAACTTAGATGAATTAGACAAACTACTTGAAAAAATACAACTTGCCAAAATTGTTAATAAAACGATATCTGAATAACCTTATACCTTTTTTTAAGTAAATAACTTAAAAAGCCGCCCACAAAAAAAGTTTAGGTCTAGATGGTTTCACTGATGGATTCTACCAAGCTTTAAGAAATAACATCAATTAACACAAACTCATTCATAAAATAGAGAAGGGAAGAATTTTCAACTCATTAGACTAGCATTACTTATACTAAAACCTGACAAAGACTCTCTCTCTCCCTCTCTCTCTCTCTCTCTCTCTCTCTCTCTCTCTCTCACACACACACACACACACACACACACACACCACACACACACAAATACAGACCAATATCTCTCATGAACATAGACACAATTATTGACTTAATTTATTCTAAAAATGTAAGGCTGGTTTAACATTTAAAAATCAATCAATCAGCCCTGGCCGGTTTGGCTCAGCGGTTAGATCGTCCACCTGCAGTCCAGAGAGACCCGGGTTCGGTTCCTGCTAAGGGCGCGTACCTTGGTTGCAGTTTGTCCCCAGCCCTGGTTGGTCTTGCGGGTAGCAGCCACTCGATGTGACCCTTTCACGTCAATGTTTCTCTCTCTCTCTCTTCCTCTCTCTCCCTCCCACTCTATCTGAATAAAAAATGGAAAAATGTCCTCAGGTGAGGATTAAAAAAAAAAATCAATCAATCAATCAGCCCTGGCCTGTTTGGGTCAGTGGTAGAGTGTCGGCCTGCAGACAAATGAGTTGCAGGTTCGATTCCAACCAAGGGCATGGACCTCGGTTGCAGTTTGTCCCCAGCCCTGGTCAGGTTGTGCAGGAAGCAACCAGTCAATGTCGTCCTCTCACTCAATGTTTCTCTCTCTCCCTTTCTCTCCCTCCCAATCTATCTCAAGATAAATGGAAAAATATCCTCAGGTGAGGATTAAAATTAATAAAAATAAAAATCAATCAATTAGATAAACATATAAAACAATCATTACAAATCTATCTTGATAGTCACACAATTATAAAAATGTAACTTGTGACAACAGTTACACAAAGGGCAAGAGAGCCATATAGAATAAAAGTTTATATATAATATTAAAGCTGAACTGATATTAATTTAAACTAGATAGTTATAAATTAATATGTTAATTGTAATCTCCAGAGCTACCACTAAGAAAATAACTATAAAATGCATAGTAAAATTAATCAAAATGTTGCATGAGAAAATAGATAACACACAAAAAAGGTAGTAATAGAGGAAATCAGGAACAAAAATGATATAAGAAAACAAACAGAAAAATGGTAGAACTTCCATATCTATAATTACAGTAAGTGTAAGTAGATTAAACACTCCAATTAAAAGGCAGATTGAGAGAACAGATCTTTTTTTAAAAATCCACTATAACCCCTATGTTCATAGCAGCATAATTTACAATTGCTAAGATCTGGAAACAGCCCAAGTGTCCATCAACAGATGAGTGGATAAAAAAGCTGTGGTACATATACACAGTGGAGTACTATGCAGCTGTAAGAAAGAAAGAGCTCTTATCCTTTGAGATGACATAGAGGGACCTAGAAAGTATTATGCAGCCCTGGCCAGTTTGGCTCAGCGGTTAGAGCGTCAGCCTGCGGTCCACAGAGACCCGGGTTCGGTTCCCGCTAAGGGCATGTACCTTGGCTGCAGTTTGTCCCCGGCCCTGGTTGGGTCGTGTGGGTGGCGGCCACTCGATGTGTCCCTTTCACATCAATGTTTCTCTCTCTTCCTCTCTCTCCTTCCCGCTCTATCTGAGTAAAAAATGGAAAAATGTCCTCGGGTGAGGATAAAAAAAAAAAAAAAGAAAGAAAGTATTATGCTAAGTTAAATAAGCCAATCAGAAAAAGATAAATACCACATGATCTCACTTATTTGT